GTAGATCCTGTAAGTTAGGAAATATATTTTAGATTGATGGTGTTAAATCCTTTACTGGTGTCAATTCTATACAATTCAAAGAACTAATTCACGACTGCATCACACAACTGCAGGTATAAGCTGTGCAAGTTACCGTATGTTACATCTATTTGCCGCCAAATTCATCGTAATATCCAGAGAATTGGAAGAACCTGTTACCTATCTCCCAACTCCCTACTTTAAAAGGACACTACCTCTTAGAATCAACATCAATTTTAAATTTCGCAAAACTACACTCAAAGAGTATAAATACATCAGTTGACTTAACTGGTGTCATAACTACACGACAGAATCCCTGTATAATTCGATGATCCATAAAATAAGGTTATTATTGAAAGAGCATGTTTCCAGTAGTCGAGTGACCTAAGGCATTTTTACGCTTAAAATGTACGCTGTTAAATCTAATTCGATTACCATCAATCAATATGAAGTCACAAAGCGAAACAGATTTTGTATGCAGGATAATATTTAATAAAACTGAATATTTTTCAAGATGGCGGCTAACCAGCTGACATAAAAAAAGAATTGAGAAATATTAATTTTTTATGTCCCAATTGCTGTTTTTGGGGGTTATACATCCTGACTGAAATGTCTTGAATGACTGTCATACTGTATATTGATGACACGTCAAAATAATTCAATATAAGAAGGGTGCCATATATTTTTATCCTAGAAACAGAGTAAACATTTTAGACGCCATTACTAAAGCGGAAGTTATAAGAGTAACGACGCTTCAGAATCGAATTTCAATATATCTATTCGAATAGGATAAATGCATTGACTCCATAATTGATTTCGATTTGGTACTAAGACGCTTTTTTCGCCTAATAGCAGCAGACCTTTGTGGTTCATAGAGTTTTTTCAAACTCAAACTACAGGTCTATTCTGTGGCGTTTTTACGGAGGGTCTGCGCTGACATCTCTCATCCCCAAAGTGGCCAATTTTGTCTCAAACAACAAATTTCCTCCTTGTATTAAATCTTTCGTATTAAAAATATATGGTGTTTATTGAACAAATATGTCTTTAATAAATGTCCATCCTCCTAAAACGTATTTCGGTGCGGGAGACATTCAAAAGTCATTGGGTTCTCTTCCTGGATTCCCATGGGCAAAATATCTCGGAGAAAAACATCTCCCAGGGCACAATTATACAGGTCCAGGCACGAGGTTAGATCTGCGTTTAGACGAAAATGATAATCCCAAACTAGGGGAAGAACCCGTTAATAGAGTTGACGCAGCAGCGCTCAAACACGACATACTGTACAGAAACAAAGACGTAACATTCAGACACCAAGCAGACCAACAAATGATAGACGAACTCGAAAATATTCCCAATCCCACTTTCAAAGAGAAATTACAGAGGGCTCTTGTCATAAAACTCATGAAGGCAAAATTGAAATTGGGTATGGGCATAGCAGACGAGATTCACAAAGAATTTTGAAAAAACAAACATTACCTCAAAGTCAAAGTTTTTGATAAAGATGAAATTTGGTCAGCCGATTTAATCAACATGCCAGTCGAGAGAGGGTACAAGTATTGTTTGACGGTGATCGACATATACACGAGATACGATTGGGTCTTTCCCTTGAAAAACAAATCGGGTCTGACTGTCAAACAAGTATTCGAAACCATAATGAAACAATCCGACAGACGACCCCTAAAGTTGTGGGTTGATAAAGGAAGCGAATTCTACAACAGAAATGTGAAATCTCCGGGGTTTGAAATTTACAGCACGCATAACGAAGGTAAAACCGTAGTGATAGAAAGATTCAACAGGACTCTTAAAAGCAAATTATTCAAGAAATTCACGGAATTGAAATCTCAAAAATGGCTTAAAATATTACCAGATGTTGTCGACGAATACAATAACAAAATACATTCGTCTATAGGTGTGACGCCATCGCAAGCCTCTAATAACCAGAATGTCATAAAGTCCGTCAACACTCGAAACAACTTTGAAAACGAGATTAGCAATTTGAATGTTAAATCCAAATTCAAAGTTGGAGATCGAGTTCGTATTTTTAAATATAAATCATTGTTTCAGAAAGGTTACGTCGGCTATTGGACTAACGAGATATTCATCGTTGATAAAGTAAACAACACATCACCTCCCACGTATGAATTGATCGATCAAGACAAAGAACAAATCATAGGAAGGTTTTATCAAAATGAACTTCAAAAAACTGACTTTTAAAAATGAATCTCGAAAATGAAGATTTAGATGAAAGGTTAAGAAATTTAGATGTCGACAAGCATTTACGCTCTCTTAAATTAAGATTTTTTAAATTTAAATGTAAATTTATCTTCAAAATATTATTGAATGTGTTTTATCAGAATGTTATACAAGTTTTTTCAAACACAAACTACGTATATATTTCGTCAATTGGGTCTTCAGCAATACTTACCGCCTACTTCGAAAAAAACCTAAAAAAAATCAACTTAAAAAATGAATGTATTTCTCGATAAATACGGAAAAGACACGACCACAAATTTTCATCTTGTGAAATGGGCCAAGGAATTGAACATCTCGCCGTTTTATTATTGAATGCGATATGAAATTGATGAACTGAAATACAAGAAAGGTAAATTTTACGCCATCACAAACATTCACACGTCGGATCAAAAAGGAGTTCATCACTCTGCTCTACACAAAGATTCTTCGAATAACTTTTATTTCTTTGATTCTTTCGGTCTAGAACCGACAGAAGAGATTACGAAATTGACTAGCAAACCAATCAAATGTTCTACGTTTCAAATTCAAATAGGACAAAAGCTGTGTGGACAGCTGTCGCTTTGGGTTTTATATCGGTTGAGTTTGGGATAAAAGTTTGAAGAAATTATAATAAATTTAACTCAATAAAAATGGCAAACAAGTTTGGATTAGGGTCTTTACCTCTAGAATCCAAAAATCCCATGACGGCGTTTATAAACAAAGCGAAACCTTTTTTCGTGGATCAAATTGGAGACACCTTACAAGGGGATATCGATATGAACAATTTCAAAATAACTAATTTAAAGTTTCCAGGAAACGATAATGATGCCGTGAACAAGAAATATTTACTGGATCAAATAAACGCAATTCAAATAGATAAGGACCATGTTGAAAATAGAATAAATGACGTGAAAAGATACCTCAGACGAAATATTAAAAATCTTGTGGACGAACCCAAACTACAACAAGAGTTAACGAGTTTGAAACGTCTTATTCAAGTGGATAAAACAAGTCAGTTGCAAAATTTAATATCTAAATTAGACGATAAGATTACGAACGTAAAAATAGACGTCCAACGTTTAATAGACAACCCAAATGTAAACGAGGATAGATTGAAACGAAAACTAACCGCTTTGGAAAGAAAACTTGGCGAATTGCTAGCAGAACTAGACAAGACCGCAGACAAAACCGAGTTACAAAATTCGATATCCAATTTGAACGAAAAGATCGCGAAGCAAAAATCAGATGTTCAAGATATAATTAACACACTTCCCATTGACAAAGATACGTTGAAACGACAATTGATTGCTTTGGATACTAGAATCACGGACGAATTAGAAAAAGAAGTGGGTGTGATTAAAAACTTTCTTCAAAATAAATTTCGAGATGATATGAAAAATTATATTAAAGAACAGGTCAATCTTTTGGTATCTAGAATTCATGACGATT